TTCTTCCTTTCCGTTCGGGAAACGAACGCAGGCATACTGCGGGTTACAATTAACAAGTTCCACCTCTTCCACTAACGGATCGTATTTGGAAGAACGTGTCATCCTTTTTAACAGAACGGGGCCTGGAGTCGATAACCAAGCCGGAAGAGAGGTGCCGTACGTTGACTTCCGGTGGAAGTTAAGGAATCTTTCATGTGGTGTCGTGTTAGTAGCGGTACACAATAAGGAGCGAACAGAGTGCAAAGCATCTAGAAGCACACATTCCCACTCGGTAATGTCCCGTTGTTGGGTCTTCAACGCCAGAGTGATAGACTTCCAAAGAGTACCATTAAGCCGTTCGACTTGTCCGTTACCGCGCGGATTGTATGGGGTAGTTCGACTGGTTGCTACACCCCTGTCGTGAAGAAACGTTTGTACTTCACCTGACATGAAAGCTCCACCACGATCAGAATGGACGTATGAGGGCATTCCGAACAAAGAGAACAACTGATTAAAACACTTGATCACGGTGGATGAGGACACATCCGTACACGCGAAGGCGAATGGGAAACGAGAGTACTCGTCGATCATTGTTAGAAGGTATTTGTTGTGGGAGGTCGATGGAAGTGGGCCTTTAAAATCTATGCTGACGCGTTCAAACGGCTGTGTAGCTTTAATAAGATTGCCAAAAGGGTGATTGAGGAAACGAGGCTTCAATTCCGAACAAATACTACACTGATTTGTAATCGCCTTAACATCATCGGTCGAAAACGGCAAATTTTTTGAGCGAACGAAATGAAGCATCCGCGTGATACCGGGGTGACATAATGTATTATGAAGATGTTTGAGATCCACCTGTGACATCGCAGATACGTAATCAGTCCGCGATAGTGCGTCAGCGGCTTTATTCTGATTACCTGGACGGTACTGGACATCGTAATGAAAACAGGACAGTTCAAGTCTCCATCTCTGGATTTTGTCGTTTTTTACTTTGCCTTTGTGTTGTTTGTCGTACATAAAGGCGACTGATCGTTGGTCCGTGACAAGTGTGAAGTGATTGCCGATCAGGTAGTGTCTCCACTTTCTCAGAGCTTCAACAATCGCGTACGCTTCTTTTTCGATTGCTGAATGATGCCGCTCACTGTGTGACAGAGTGCGTGAAAAGAAAGCTACCGGGCGCCCGTCTTGATTGAGAGTGGCCGCAATGGCTATGTCGGAAGCATCAGTTTCCACAACGAGTGGACGAGTGTAGTCTATGGTGAAAACGGCTGCCTTTTCCAAATCGTGTTTGAGCTTATTCAGTGCCGCTTGTACGCTATCTGGAATCGGGAAGATCTGATTGCGGACGATTTGATGAATCTTATCTGAGAAACATGGGATCCAGTGTGCGTAGTATGCCAGCATTCCGACCAATCTTCGTTGTGAACGGATGTCACATGGATGAGGCAACTCCCGTAGGGCTCGAAAACGTTCAGGATCCGGTTTTATCATACCATGAGATATTTCGTATCCCAGTAATAGTACTTTCGCAGTAGCTATGATGCTCTTTTTCTGGTTAAATGTAATACCGTGACGTTTTGAGGCCTCTAAGAATTTCTTCAAATTTCGATCATGTTCCTGGGCATCGCGACCACACACGGTAACATTGTCAACATATGCGAATGTATCGAGCAGATTTTCCTCGCGTATGATGTTGTCTATGGTGCGTTGAAAGCAGGCCACACCATTAGTAACTCCGAACGGAATGCGGCGAAATTGAAAGAGTTTACCACATGCCTCGAATGCAGTATATGGCTTGTCTTTGTCGAGAATGGGGATCTGGTGGTACGCACTTTGAAGGTCTAGTGTGCTAAACACCGTGTAATGGGAAACCTTCTCTACAAGTTCGTCCACCTTCGGCAGAGGATACGCATCAAGGTAAGTGAAGCGATTTATGGTTTGACTGTAATCGATGACCATGCGCTTCTTATGCCTGTCATTCGTAGTAACGAGAACCTGAGCGCGCCAAGGAGAGTTAGACGGCTCAATAATTTTGTCAGCTAGTAACTTCCGAACCTCCGTCTCGATAAATACCGTATCCGTGCGAGAGAAACGACGAGATTTAGTGGCAATTGGAGTACATCCAGGGGCGAGATTATCAAACAAAGAGGGGGCGTTGACTCTCGCTGCTTTCAATGTGCATATGGCGAATGGGGGCCGCTTACCCGTGAATGGTATGATGACACTTTGGTGTTGACTGAGGAAATCCAAGCCAAGGATGACGTCTGAACACAAATTGGATAAGAGCGAGAGTTTGACACTTTCGTATAGTGTGCTTTTGTACAGAACGGTAGCATAAAGATGACCGCTAGTAACACACGATAAGTTCGTTGAAGCCATCGAGATAGCGCTCTTAGAGGATGTTATTGTCCAACCATGCTTTAGTGCGATGTCAGAAGAAATATAACTTTCGCAACTACCAGTATCGATAAGTGCGTGAAGTGGGATATTATTCACTATAACATCAACGATTGATTTGGAAAGTCCCATGGATGAAGAGATGTTGAAAATGGATGAGACACCAGGGTTCACCGTCGATGTGATACGGCTTGAACCCAGTTTGGATCGACAAACTTTTTGGAAATGACCTTTCTTGCCGCAAGAATGACAGAAAGACTCACGAGCCGGGCATTTTGAACGAATGTGCTTACCGTTGCCACAGAAGAAGCAAGATAAGGATGTGCTTGCAATCGTGTCACTAGATTCCATCTGAGAGATAAAAGCATCACGAACAGGAGTAAGAGGTTTATCAGTTTTGATAGATGCGGCGCCACAGGGAACATGAGAAGACGAGTCGTATGAGAGTGACTGTTGTTGAGCATGTTCAAGCAGACGTGCCTCGTCAAAAGCTTGTTGAAGCTTAAGAGTGTGTTTTTCTAGTAGTCGTTGGCGAACGGAATTAGACTGCAAGCCTGTGATAAAAGCGTCTCGAATAGCCTCATCCCGATGTTCATCGGCAGAAACCGCACGAAAATTGCAGTCCTTGGCAAGGTAACGTAATTTTTGCAGGAACGCGTCGACTAATTGGCCCGGTTCTTGTTTGGTAGTAGCCAGCACGTGGCGGGAAAACACTTCATTTTTGGGTTTAATGTACATCTTTTCGAGCGTCTGGATGGCGTCTTCGTAAGTAGTACAATCACAAACATGTTGATAGACGGACGGAGAAAGGAAATTTACCAAAAGTTTTCTTTTGTCAACGTTTGGGAGTTCGATGCATGAGAGGAAGTTCGTAAACGTTTCGTGCCAATGGATCCATTGTTCTGAAGCAGAAGAGGATTGGGGATCGGCGTCAAACCGATCTGGGCGAAACAATCGTTCCATTGTGTTTTGATAGAAGATTAAATTGTTGCGCACTCGAATGATTGTGCCAGAAACAGAGAACGAGGATTGCCGAATGATTGGCTTTAATCTTCTATCAATTTCAGTACATCAGCTAAAACATTAGGAAACAATTAGCTCAACGAATAGCGAGTAAAAAAGTTAAACACAACGTCAGTATATAACAGAGATCACTAGGCTATTTTTATCACTGATTGTTTCGTTCACCAGAGGTGTCTTTGAGCCCGTTGCGTGTATCAGTGGAAATAGCTTGCGCACATTTCCAGAATTTATCACTTCCTCCTCCCCAGCTTTCTAGACCGACCGGGACTTCTGATTCGCGAAATCGTGCTTTTGCATGCCAACTCTGACAGCTCGTCGAGTTGTATTTTACTCGCGATCAGGAGGAATACTTGTTCGAGTTTTGAGCAGTTTCACTGTTGTTCGAGTTTCAGTCCTTAGGTCTAGTCGGTTGAAACATTCCACAAGCGGACCGCCCTGCATCTTGCAAGGTTGCGGACTGCCTTCCTTTAAGAGTCATTAACGGGTGCCTTGTCTGAGACGGACTTCAGTAGATGGACTTCAGTAGATAGACCTGTTTCACATCAGGGACCGGAAGCTTATCAGTGGCCAGGTGAGGTGTGTGTATCTTGCACCCCTCCTAAAAGCGCACTGAGAAGCGGCAACGAGCAAGCACGTGCTTTTGGGTGAAGCATGTACTTGATACGGGTTTGCGCCTGGAACATGAACAGTCAAGAAAATAAACCACCTGGAATATCAGTAAATCTCCGATTAGTGGGGTATTGTGCCGTGGGTTATTCTGCCGTGGGTTATTCTGCAGGCAGCATTCAATCAGTCCTGCGGCGAATGGAGCAGGTGTGTGCTGTTCGCAGATTGCCGCAATTGAAGCATTGTTGACCATGTGACGTGCATCATGTCATGCCCGTAACTCAGGAACACCGAAATGTGGACCTTGGTTGTCGAGCTACAATCTCGAAGCCACCGGATTGGTGTATTAACAGATGAGGTGTAGTAGATGTGCAGTGAAATCACCGTGACACTGATCTCGGAAATTAGGAGGGTCTACCAAGATTTCCATAGATAGAGGGAAAAAGCGTACTAGGCCGAAGCCTAGTTGGCTAACCGAAAGGAGTCATTAGTATTTTCATGAAATTCATGCAGCCACTAGGCAGCTTTCAGCCTTCTTCGGCTTTGGGGGAATGGCTCAGTGGTTAGGGCGCGAATTTACTGTCCAGAACGTCAATGGTTCGAACCCGACCTATGCCTTTCGACTTCCCCTGTCTGGGCTTGGGCAACCTGGCAGTATCCCAGCCCTCGTGCGTTGGCATGGCAGTTGGGCACCGAAAGGGTGCTACAACTTGTGATTTTTGGGCTTTGCTTCAGAGGTGCTGGTACATTGTATCGGGCATCAAAATTTCATCCTATTGACGGACTGCATTGTCGTGTTTCACTGTATTCTCATTTTGGTACGTACCTTGCATGAATTGATGTCCGGTTAACTCGATTGGTCGCTTATGTTGCCAGCGTAACGTGTTTTTCGGAGGCAATTAAGTACGCCCTTCTGAGTTCTTTTCCTCTTATATTCAACACGCGTTTTTTGGTTGATCATTTCAGCTGTGCTGTATTTAGAGTCATCCGCTCACATGGACCGACCTTCAGACGTAGAATTCTGCCTTGGCGTAATTAAGCGTTTTTTAGTGTGTCCTATATGGTATGTCGTTTGACGGGTCAACTCACCCGTTTTTCATAGTCTGGATAATTTCAAAAATCCACTCATCACCCCATGTGCCCACATGTTCTGCACGTTCTGCATTCATGAGCACATAGGGCGCAAGCGACAGGCCAAGTGCCCTCTCTGCAACCGCGAATTCACCCGCCGGTATGTGTTTATTATTTCCTGTCCTCACAGCTATATCTCATTTACAGTTCCCTTAAAGTTTCTGGAAAAGTGGGCCGTATTGCTAGTGCATGTGAAGCTATTCTAACCGCTTATGAAGTTGAATCCGGTAATCCAGGTAAGTTTTAAACAGCAACGAAACTGAAATCTTCAGTCTCGCCAAACCATCTTCCGAGCGAAGAGTTGCATCTCAGCCAAGAGATGACACAGTATACATCCTTGGTAGGTGCTCTCTTTTCCATCTACACATACACTCAAGATTGCAGATGAATACCCCAAGGTACCAATAGAAATATCGAGACTACGACATTCTAATTTCGAGGATGGTCGAGTACCTGCACCCACTTGTGTACGTGGGAAGGACATTCGAGCTTCACGGTCACGTATCGTTTTAGGAACGGCTGCACGGACCAGACATACTCGTGTTCAACAGGAGCAGCCGTCGCAATCACCTGAACTTGATGATGCGCTTGCTACACAACCAATGGTACATCCTAATATAGACTGCCAAACTACCCGGCCTAATATCTCCCCTTCGGACGAGCACCATGAGGCTGGGAGTGATTTGGGTGATTTGTTTTCATTCACCCAAGCCACTCAACCAATGTGTACCAGCGCTGATGAATCCACATCTGTTGGGGACATGTTGAGCCATGTTTTCCAAACATCTAGGAAGGGTACTAAGTCGAGGTCTCCAACTCAAACAAGGGAGAAACAACTGCAATCCACAACAGGAGATGAAATAGTAAAGCGTTCGCGTAACAAAGTTATTCGAACAGTTCCATTTTTGCCTCCTTTGCCACCATCTGTTTCCAGCAGCGCAGCTTTATCCTTGCGAAAGCCGGGCAGCAGAAGGAATTTACTCGCCTTGTCTGCTTCCAATATCGTCACGTCCGACAAACATGGGCCGCCCCCAGAATGCTCTTCGGGTCATGCGTATTTACGGAAAACACATGAAGTACTCTGTCGTGTGCAACCTACTGTTGTCGATAGAATGCCTTATCAAGAAGATCGTAATCCTGAATCATTAATCGAGTCCACTGAATGTGGAGATAAACATTCTGGTCTTTCAGAAAAGCTGAAGCGCCAGCCAAGCGCCTCGTGTTCGGTGCGGTCCTGGCCCTTAAAACGGCAAAGACTTACGTTGTCTGTGGAGATCCGCAATCGTTTACTTCAGAAGTATGGAGTGACCAGACGGTCTGTAATTGAGGGCGCTATTTCATCTACACTGCAACAAACCACAAAAAGTCCCGGGTGGTCACGTTGGCGTTCAATGCGCAAAGAACTGCAACGCCGTAGCTCTTCCACTCGTCTTTCTTTTCGCTCGAAATCCTGTGCATCTCTTCAGCCAAAGGAACCTTCCCGTAGCCAAGGCGTATTGCTACCGAAAAATGCTAGACCTAATCAGTCTGAGGACTGTACACCTTCCGTTCGCCAATCTCTTTCTCGTCATGATAAGCTAAGGCTTACAAAGAGAGATTCTCAGTCAAGATCATCAATCTCTTCCACAGCTGAGAAACTCAAGCCATGCAAATTCGTGATTCCTCTCCGTAGGATATTTTCGTCAAAACGATCTCGTGTGTCTCTGCCACTCTGCACTGTACCAGTTGTTCAAGTAGGAGATGCGGGACCCAGAAAAGTCACCGATCATTCAGATTCGAAGACGAAAACCTACACAACTAACCTCCCTTCATCAAGCAACCTTGACGATCATGAGCTATCTGTGGCTGGCGACAGTCTGAGCTTTCTGGACGATGTTGATCATACACACGTACATTGCAGTGCATGTGGTGAGACACTACTTCTGCGTCCCGACAGTTTTAGTGCGTTTAATTCACCGGGGTCACGAAATACTACAAACCAAGGTCGGACGCCCTCCCCAGCTCCTCGCTTGTCGTGCTCCATCTCGTCTACCTACTGGCAAGCAGAAGATCCAAGCGACACAATGTTTGACCAGGCCCATGGTTATACTGGTGATAAAAACCCGTTTCAAGAACTTGAACCTACCGCTCCGGCGCATGCTCAAAAAGCAGTTTGCGATACAGCTTGCCAGACTGATTTACCACAATCATCGGACAGGTCGCCTGTATGCGGACCTTTTTCAAGAACAGGTGTTGAAGTGAGTTTGTTCGATTGGTACGTTGTGACAGTTTCTAGTATATTTCTCCAGAGAAACCTTGCCGATATGAGTAAGCTTTATACTGAATATGTGCAAACGCAACGCACAGTGTGATCAGGCTGAGAAGCAAAGTGGCAACTTTCGGGAACTGGTCACCCTTCATGCCTAGCCTATACTCAAGGGATATTTTTCTAGGGGATTGCTCCAGGGACTGTCCGGTGTATACCAGGGGGCTTCTGCGTGAGGCCATTGCTGGTTTTCGGTTCATGTAATTTGTTTGAACACCACATCAGGTTCACGTTATGCGTATCGCTACTTTACCCGTTTTTTGTCTAATTCCGCCACTTTTATTTAAAGTTGCAGTCGTCTATAAATGCTCATGAATTGGATGGTTTGCGGGATCAGCTATCCAGCTACGCAAGCGGAAGGGAGTAAAACTTCCGAATTCAGAAAGTTTGTCACTGTTTGCACGAGCTCCATTTTCATCCTCTACTGCTTTCTGTTTCACAGACACATCGTTCATCTCAAATTCCGGTGGTTCCTGCACCAACCTCCCTTCAGTCTCCTCTTGCAGTAACGACTGCAGCTCACCTCAGATCTCCTGTCTCTATCTCACCCACCTCTTCGGCTTTGGTCAAAGACACAGGAACTTCGGAATCTCCATGCACGTTAACCAGTGTGACCTCCACATTCCCTGCAAGTTCTAGCGAAGTAATGCCCACCATAGTACGTCTTTTGTTATAGTAACGGTAGATTTTCCCAGTAGATTTGTCATCATTTTTATGATTTATCCATTATTTTTTTTTGCAGTGGGGATGTTATAAAATGCACTGAGATCTCGCTTTTAAAACCCCATTCGGTGGGAAGGCGGTTCCATGTGAATATAATAAGTATTTCATCAACGGGATTCAAATGTAGCAGAATTTGAAGAAGACAGTCCAGTCAGTTGGAAAACGTTTGAGTTGATATTCAGAGGCATTTGGTGAGAAGCCCGTGGATTTATTTGCTGGGCAACACAAAAGTTTCGACAAACCAAGTGAATAGATCACCGGGTTTACTAAGTTTTAAGCCAGGCGGAGAGCTAATAACTGAAGCCTCTTACAACCGGAAAACTCAATCACAGCTGACTCTTTATCAAAAGTTTTTGATGGTCAGTGTGGATAATCAACACTTACAAATGATGTCGGGTCTAGGGCGTTGCTCGTCCTGTTTATGACACTGGTTGAATGTTATCCTTGGATGTGCTTTACGGGTTTTGTCCGTCGGCTTGGATTTCACTAACTCACAATTCGGCTTGAGCCGGCGTTGGCTTCGTGCTTTTGACCCAGACCACTTCATTGACAGCCACCTGCCACTGTATCTCAACTCGGTTTATCCGAAACTGCTTTCAACACGCTTGCCAGTTTTGCGTGTGCCGTTCCATTCACATTGGGATGTCTGGCTATTCCCACCGACCAGGTAACCGATCCCGGTGACTCGAATGTATCGCACGTCAATTCTGTATCCAATTTGCGCACCACTATTGCCGAATTTCTAGCTATCGCCCGATTTCCATCCGTGGTTTTTGGTATTTGTTTTATACACCGTTGGTACTAACCTATTCCGATGGACAGTTCCCTGGCTGTTTGTCTTATATAGACCTTCGTATGCTCGCTACGTTGTACTTCCTATGCACAGTCCCTAGTCCTATCAGCCGAGGGGCGACCTTCTAGTCGTACTAATTATCAGTGTAAAGTTTCCCCATTCTTTGTTATTCCTCTTAAACCAGCCGTAATTCGCATTCTTCAACCGACTTCAGGTGTCCCTGTTTTGTATGGGGTGATTGCTATCCACACTCTTAAATGCACTCCAACATTAACCTTACTCTTATTTATTATTGACGTTATGGAGCTGGTGTTAATCTGTCAGTAGAGCTGACCAGCTGGGTGTTGTTTAGCCTTCTGCAAGCAGTCATTTTCAATCATGACGATGCAGTTTTGCTCTTATCTGTCCTCGGTGTAGCGATGATATCAATATGTTTAAGGTATGTAAAACCTTTAGCTCTGCTGGCGCAGTGTTTGGAACTTCTGATTGTCAATTCCTCAAAACGGTGACCAATTATACTCTTCTTTACTTCGTTGAAGGAAGTTTTTAGTAGACAGACTCGTCAGTGTCAATCATTTATGCTGTTCCTGCTGCGAAATCCAAACCTTATCTGGCAGATAACCCTCCTCCTAACTTCACGATCTGTTTTGCTTCCCGCAAGAAACGTCAGATGGCTCACTGTTTCCGACTGGTTTACTAGAATACTGTCGTGGGAATTAACTTTACGAACTCACATCATCATCGTCATCAAAAACAGCAGCATCAGTGTTGACACTGATGCTTCACTGCTGTACAACCATAAGGTTCCTCATATTATATTATAT